CAAGAATCAATTCAAAATTTTCGACTTCAACATCTTTGGCATCAAGTTTTTTATTGAGAGCATTGAGTTCGTCAATTTCTTTATCCATTTTCTCTCTTGCTATTCTTTCGGCTTCAGTCATCATTGGGTCCTCTTCAGAATCCTCATCAGCTTTGCATTTTCCTTTTCTTGATCTAGAAGTTTCATTATCCTTCGGATTAGACTCATTTTTCAATTTTTCCTCCTCTTCTCCCACTGTTTCGAAGAAACCCAGCTTCCTGAAACAACCTGGATCTGATTAAGCAATGTGAACACATGTTTGAGTTTTTTGGTGAGAGACTGACGCACTGATTCAGTGAACGAAGCATTTCGGTTTTCAACGATCTGCAACAATTGTTGGTTAATTTTAGAATTATGAGCTTTAACTGAATGTTTATCTTCATCGAGCTTGGAAATATTAGTTGATGCATTATTTATCTTTTCATTAAGAACCTTTGTTTTCTGAGTTTGCTCAGCTAATGCGTCCATGATCTTGTTTTCAACGGCCAAGTCATTTTATAACTTGGTGAGCTGTTGAGAGATTGATGAATTGAGATCAACATTGTCAAGCTTAATGTGTGCACGGAGGGATGAGAGAGCTTCTTTTTCAGCTTTCAGAGAAGATTGAAAACCTTTTATGACTTTTTTTTTATATCTGCAATATTCTTTTCAAAAGAAGTCTGAAAGTTAGTCATGAACTTCTTAACTTACTGATGCAAGTTACGGACCTTTTCTGCAGCTTCTGATATTTTTTGTTCGGAAGCTTGATTTGCATTGATGGTTTCTTCAAGCACTTTAGCATTGGTTTATGTAAGCATTTACATAGTGGCTTTATGTGTTTTCAGCTTATATTCCCATTTGGACGAATAAAAGGCGTTGGAATACTCCAAAATGGAATCAAGCTTTTCATTCAGCTGCTTGAACTGTCCTTTCATCATGGGAGCTTCATCATCATCACTGTTGATATTGACATTGAATGGATGGAATACAAAATATGCAATCCATTCTTGATCATCTCCGAACATGATGTCATCATTATAATCAAAAGGAGGAGCATAAGAAGAAGGTTGTTCAAAAGTCACACCAATGTTGTCATTTAGCCCCACATCAGATGTGTTACCAGGGATTCTGGAAGTCCAATCTCCTCCGAAATATATTTGTTAATGGTAACTTCAGGTGGAGTGGATACAATTGATGTTGTAGGTATGGTGGAGTTTGTGAAGATTGGTGAGGATATTGTGATCGAAACAGGAGGAACAAATGTTTCAACATAAATCATTTGTGGTAAAGGAGGGATGGATGAGATCGGAATAGATGTAGTGATTGGTGAAGTTGTATTTAGGATGTTTGTAGATTGAGTAGTGGTGGGGTGGTGAGATTCAGAAAAGGATTATGCATTATATTTTCAAAAATATCAGGTTCTGGGATTGAAGAGATTGGAGGAGAGGATACCTTTAGAATATTGTCATCATTGGCTGGTTCGAAAGTTTTAGGCATATCTTCTTCATCATTTCATAAAGTAGTATCTATCTAAACGTCAGATTCTATCCACTCATCAGATTATTCTTCAAGCATTGGAGAGGGAGAACGTGGTTTCAGAACCGGATTTTTAGATTTCCTTGTAACTTTGATTCCTTCAAAAGGAACAACCTTGATTTTCCTTTTATCACCATGTTTCGGTTTGTCGCCTTCATCAATAATCTTATTTAATTCCACAGGCATAGGATGAACACCAGAAGAGGGTAGTTTTCGATAAGTCCTGATAATGGTGTTGTCAAGAGGAACTTTCTCCAACAATGCATCCGGAATTAAATCAACAAATTCAAAATTCCTAGGATTCGACATGACGAATGTAGTGGTTTGAAGCATCAGAATTTCTTCCGTAAGGGAATCTCGCATCTGAGGAACCCTGTAGTTGTTTAGGTTTCTATTTACAACGATTGACCAGAAACGTGGACATGAAATTTCCATATGTCGTGTAGATGAAGTGGTGCTTTGAACAAGTTGTGCCAAATAACAGACCCAAAATCCAAGTTGGTACCATGGTATAGCCCATCGATCAAGGAGTAGAAAATCTTGGTTGCACTATCAGAACCCAAAACCATTTCTGACAAGCTTTTTACCAGTAAGGTAAACAACCCATTCCACATCGGAGGTAAGAAAGATTTCCTAAACTTCAATAACAAGGAGATATCACCAGTGTAGCCCATTTGGAAGAACATCTCGATCAAGTAGGTGGCAGGAATCGACTAAGGATCAATATTAACTTCAGGCGTTACAAGCCCTAGAAGTTTACAGAAGTTGGGCTTCGAGATCGAGGTCTTGTGGTTTGATACTTCAAAATTGATGACATCTTCAGACTTGTTGTAGATTGCAGTGGAAAAAGCTTTGGAGAGATGAACGAGAGGAACATCTGTAGACATTGTTAGAGATTTAATCAATGAAAACTTCAAACACTTGATCAAAGGTTTGATCAGAGTATTGTATTGATAAACATCAAGGTCAATGATAAGATTCTGGTTTGATCAGAATATTGTATTGATATGTTTTTATGTTCTTTGGACTTATTATATTCTTCAATTATCTCAAGTCCAAGTCTGTAAAAATCAAAAACATCATCTGAAGACACAATTGATTCACATTTATAACATCCAACATCAATTTCATCTTCTTTCAGTTCAAGAAAAGGCAAAATCATTTTATGTCATCCTTTACCTATTTTGCAATCTAAATGAAGCTGAGTGATACGAAATACAAACTTTTAGCAATTAAACAGAAAATATTTCACTGTTTCGGAAGTACTCTACTATCTATCTTAAGTAAAATAACATCATCTCTAAATCTATTAAGCTCAACCGCCAAGGATTCTATTCTTATTCGTCTCTCCTCATTCTTAAATGTTATCCTATTAAGATTATAGTTCAGATTAGAAATATTGATGCGTGTCATTTTCAAGGTGTCACTAAAATCAGAAATCGTATAACTTAAATCATTCAATTCAAAATCATATTGTGATGTAGGAATATTAAGAGATTTAAGAATAGAGTGTACCTTGTCGACAACATTTTTGCATTCACTCACTTACTCCTTGATCATTTCACTACTAGAAAAACAACCTTTTACGACGCTCATTGCGCGTCGTAAAGGGCTCAGACGACGCGCAAATGCGCGTCAAGGAAGGCCCTATCATAAAGAGAGACGATGCGCATTTACGATGCTCATTTACGACGCACGTTTATGACACGCAATGCGTATCAAGAAAGGCCCTGTCATAAAGGAAGACGACACACATTTGCGTATCGTAACCTTACGACGCGCGTGTAAATGAGACGCAATGCGTATCAAGAAAGCCCCTGTCAAGAAAGGCCATGTCATAAATGAAGATGACACACATTTTTGCGTATCATAATTTTAAATGTTTAAAAAAAATATTATTTATAGATTTACTAATTTTCAAATTAAATTTGTATTTAATGTCTCATAATAGAAAATAAAATATCATTTACAAAAAATACAATCCATTGCATAAAATTTAATGTCATACAAATAATCATATACAAAAAATACAATCCATTTTATAAAATACAATCCCTAACTATCTAACCTATTATTACATTGCTATTAAGGGACACCTTGTTTCAGATATCATGTAAAAAACAAATCCTCCATGTCAAAAAATTGGTTATTGTCCATCGAGTGTAGATGACAAATAATGACTTGAACATTAGCTGAAACCAAAAAACTTTTATTAATCACACAATCAAAAAGCTGAAACCAAAAAGCTTTTAATTACACAAGAAACAACACATCATCATGAGAAACTACTAACCTGCCCTAAATGGAGGAAGTAGTTTTCTCTAGTGAATTTTGTTGGTGTGGACTGATAAAAGTTATAGCATGTCCTAGCAAGCTGCAAATAATACATATAAAAATTATTGGCAACTAAAAAAGCAACAAAAATAACAGACCTCTTCAGCCATATTCAGGAACTTTCATTGATGTCTCCCACATGTCTATGTTTTAATAACGCATTAGTTTGTTTTATATATACATCTACAGTTGTAATTTTATCTAGAATTAAAATTACAAACTTACTTATAAGGCTTTACAGTTGCAGCTTTGTTTCCTTGTATCCACACTTTAAGTAAATACTCATCGAAATTGCACAAAGTTACATTATTACAAAACTTAATATACTGAAGATCATAACACCCTAATTTCATGAAGCAAATAAGTTATATAAAGATCATTAAGAATATTTGAGAATCATCTGCAAGCAAACATAAGTAGACAAAATCTGGGTATTAATTAGATAAATATCCCGGTTAGTTAACCTGGATAATAATCACCCAAATAGAGCTCTGTCTCAGTTTACCTTAGTTTTAGCCATCATTTGTGGCTCAGCCTTCTCAACTTCAGTTGATGATATAAAGTTTTATTACCCCAATTGTACTCCCATCAATTCCTTCACTCGTTCCTTCAATCTCCCCACTATTTTATAAACGAGCTATTGTTTCCACTTGTGTGAGTTCCCATCAATATTGTTTCCACCTTCATAAAAGACTTACAAGATGATCTTAGAAAGGTTGAGAAGACTTACAGGATGAACTACAGGATTTGCATAAACACCTCCATGTGGATAGAAAGCAGCATATGGTGGCATCAGATGCTGATTTTGTGATTTTGCAAGTACAAAAAAGTCAACAGAAAACGCTCACTGAACTTCGTCTGCAATTACCAATGCACCCCTAGACAAGAAGAAGAAGAAGAAATGTTATATAATTCTTTTATCATTTATGTTTAATGAGTATAATAATAAGAGCAGAAAGTGAAAGATGGAAGAAAATGAGCTACTTACTTATTTTTTTAATTGTTATTTTGTCAAATCAAACAATAATTTATAAACTAATATTTTCAAATGCTACTTACTTATTTTTTAAGAAATTTAATATTTTATATGGAATTTTTCTATCAGCTATAGACTAGGAAATAACATACAAAACTGACACAGTGATATCAAATTTTGACCCGTGCTCATGAGTAGGAGGAGCTCTTGGAGCAGATTTCTCAGTCATTCCCACACTAATTTTGTAACCTCTCAATTCATAATCTGATCAAACATTAAAAAAAAAATTAGAAGGCTTCTTTATACCAATCTATATCCTATTCCTAATTGTTATTTATTATATATTATTTTGTTTTCACAAAATAGATGTCAAGTAAAATGGAGGTGAGGGATACCAGAAAGGTCAGCAGGCTCTGGGCGCTTTACTCGTGAATGGTTTTCGCACTGAATAAATTTCTTATAGCATCATCTTGCATCCAGATAAATGGAAAAAAAAAAGATAGAAGAATAGAAGAAGAAAAAGAAGAAAAAGAAGAAGAAACAAAGCCTAAGGGATGAGGTTAGGTAACACATGAGTAATGTATAAACACTGACCTGAGTATTACAGAAGATGATTGCAAGGTCATTGTATTCATTTTCCTTGGTACAAAAAAAACTGCAAATAAAAAGGGTAAACCCATCAGGGGAAATTAAAAGAAAGCCATTAGTTTTGCACTATTTTTATTTTGTTTATTGTGAGAAAAAAAATTACAACATGAACACCTTGAAAGTCTGTTTTGTGCTTAAACTCATAATACACTTCAACAACATAATTTTACAGATAATAAAATAAATTTGTACTAGTTTAAGTTTGTTTATTTTTATTGTGTATAAAAATAAAAAATGACCTTACATTTACATAATTCCCATACATCCTTGGTGCACGACGACATTCAATAGAAGCATTTGAAGGAAATGTGTCAAGTAATTAGCTTTTGCCCATACATCCCTGGTTTGCTACATGATATTTGTGAGCAAGGCATCCAGGACTAGGGTTTGCTGTGATCTGTGAATTCCATTTCTACTAATGTTGTCACCATGCTCATCTTCACTTCTTTAGAACATGTGGAAAAAAAAATGTCTCAATGATACTGAAGATATTGTAATAAGAGGCTTCGTATAAATTAATACCTGAAGGTAGTGATCGATGAAGGAAATGTGTCAAGTAATTAGCTTTTTCCATTTGGATGACATTTTGATCAGAGGAAGAAAGAGAATCCAAAAGCTTCTATGCATTAATGGCAGTTTGAGTGTCTTCACTGTTGGACATGGTGACCAAAAGTATAATGCATCCCTGTATTTTTTATTTGACCCGTTATAAATTAAATAACAAATATAACCCGTGTCCATCTGCTAGTCAAATCTACTACATCTAAGAAAATGCAACAAGTGGGTCACTAATACACTAGTTAAGATATCTAAGTAGTATTGTAGTTTGGAAAGTAGTGGCACCATACTCTTGAGTCTTGACACAATTCTTTAATAAATGCCAAACCAAACATGTACAAATATTCAACTATCGAGTTAATATATATGTAATGTTGCCTTCAAATGAATATGAAGAAAAGTGGGAAGTGGAAATCACAAACCTGGAGGCACAAAACCCTTTGGTATGAAAACCAGGAGAAAACTAGCTATGAACAAGGTCAGGTTCGAAAGGGCTTCTATTCTCAAAACCAACCATTCCCAGGTTGCATTTGTGAAAATGAAAGTACTTACATCTGTATCCACTAGCCTCATATAGTCCTTACAGAACCTGTCTTGCATCTTGAATGCTCGTGTAATTACACAAATGAGAAAAAACATACAGATTTGGAGACAAATCCAACATATCCAGGTCTGTAAAGTTTGCATTGAATAATGTTATCAATTGTTCCTTCAGTGTCACCAATTTTGAAAGCTCCAGCTATAATAGCCACAACTCTGATGGTGGGCTGTTTGAGGGCAAGATTGGATGAAGCAGCAACACTGTTGTAAAATAAGGAACGAATGTCATGAAACAATTGTTTTGTTGTGAATTTTTGTATTTTTAATTGACATGATGTGGTGTTGATGTGTTGTAGTATGATTTAGTGGGTTTATGTTTATTGAAACAATTTTTATAAATATAGTAACCAAGTTTCTATTTTGTTCCAATTTTGAAACAGTAGGTGTAAATTACAAAAATGGTCCCTGGCTATAGGGAATTTTTGCAAAATTGGTCCTACTAAGTTTTTTTTTGCAATTTTGGTCCTTATTTGAAGTGTAACATTTTGGTCCCTGTTCCAAGTACAATAAGTATATTATCCTTTTCAGAATTTTTTATAAATGTTTGTTGATGTCACTAACCAACAACCGAGTTCTTGAAAAAAACGTTTGTGGGGGAATAATCAATATCATTACTTCTTGTAACTTGAAAACTTTTAATAAATATAAAATTTGCAATTTTTAAGTCAAATTGATAGAAAGATTTAAGAATGACATAAAAGTAAAAACTTAAAAATTAAAACTGACCTTCAGTAGGATGCGAAATTAATAAATACATCTACAGTAGGATGTGCAGCTCAAGCAACTTCAACTCTGCAAAAGCATAGAACAATTTAATAGAGAAGCTGAGGGTTAGATGATTAGATCCTAACTTTTTACAAATTTACCCTCATCTATTATCTATTCCATTTCTCAAATACTTCAGTAACATCATTTTCCAGATACTACTTAATGGATAGTTGTTGTCTTGTTGATCATGGGAAATCAACTTGAGAGTTATCGTTTGAATTTATGAAAACAAGTAAAGATAAAAAAGTGAATTTGTCAGAAGAAAGTAAATATGTTACCATTTGAATTTAGTTAATTTTTTTTATCTTACCCTTGCTAGAATTCGTCCAACTGGAGTAGAGTCAAAGAATACCATGGGGGCACGTGCAATTGAATCGGTAAATTTAGTAAAGAATGATTTGGAGGCATATTGTTCCTCTCTCAGATTCACCAACAAAACGTGAGTTTAAACTTCATGTTGTGTAGTCACAACAATCAGATAATGATAAATTTAAAGCCTTACAGCCCCTGTATCTGCAATAATCAAAATCACAAATATTCATCAACCAAATATTCATTCTGTGTACTCACTTGAACAAATATTCATCAACCAATAAAGCCACAAAAACCTGTGTTGATACAACTCCCATATCAAATTCTACAATGATTTATTTGTGACTAAACCCTTCCAGTCACTTACAAAGTACACAACATAAAGGGTTTCAACTATTAAGTGCTCAAAACAAAATCACGCATTTCATTCCATGCCAAATTATGTCAATCATCTAAATTATTGTAAAATACTAAAATATTGTAAAAGACTACAGATGAATCACCTTTTGAGATCTCAAAAGACCAAAACTTGTAGTAAGATGAAATTGAATACATATCGAGCTCAGATTGGTACGTATCTCTTCAAAATCTGCTTCCCCGTCATGGCTAATCCCACCGCTATTCCACCAATAGCTCCGGCAACAGCCGCCGACCTAGGGCTGGCCGCCGTTTTATAAAGCGCTCCAGTCGCTAATCCAGCCACCACACTCCTGTCGCTATTCCAACCACCATGCATTTCATTCTAGTTAACCCTAAGTTTCATGGTGTCTCTAGCCTCAGAAGCCTTCATGCCCTCTACTAAACCTTTCCTAGCGCCAACTACTGCGCTGCTGAGGTAACCAATGCTGTTGTAGTATGTCAGGTTTTCGCCCCACGAACGCCGTTGAGCGATGGATTCCTCTTGAAAAAAGTATTCGGGAGATGTGGGAGGTTTATACAGGGTTTATGCGGGGACTCTATAAGATCTTGGTAAGGATTGTATAGTTGACGGTTGTCGTGGTGGTCGCCGCTTTCGTTTTGATTTGAAGATCACGTATGGTAAGACATGTTGTAGTTAGGGATACGATTAGGGTTTCGATCTTTCAAAAATCTGATTCCAAAGGAGAGAGAGATAGAGCATAAGAGAGAGAGAGAGAGAGAGAGAGAGAGACAAACTATTAGGGTTTTTTAGTAGAGGATTTTAGAGGCGGGGTGTTTAGTTTTTTGGGATTTCATTCCCCCTGGGCTATTAAAAATGAGAGACCGCGCCTTCCTTAAAAAAATATAAAGCGACACATTTACACGACGCCCATTTTTATGATACGTGCCCTCCGTGTTTTTAATTTTTTTTCTTGGACACTAATTTTAGGGCACGCACAAATGCGTGTTCTCTATCCTTCAAATTTTGCAAAACTGACATTAACTTTTAGGGCATGCACAAATGCGCGTCCTGTATCAGCGAGTGTCATTGTTTGCGCGTCATTAAAGGGCTTTTTTCTAGTAGTGTTTTCGTAGAAAAACAGTTATCTAAAGCTTTTCCACCACCAATTGTGTATTCTTTCCCTTCTGAATCACTCTTCTGAACCATAAAACACTTTCCTGCATACCAATGCTTCTCAAATTTCACCATGAAATAGTCATCATGAGTTAGAATCATCACTTCATTGTATTCAGAGTCAGTTGACCACACTTCAACTTTTCCGTCATTACTATCCTCTTATACCATCAGCACAGGTTTTGCATTTGTTGCAATTTTCTTTCAGAGTTCTTCGATTTTATGAGTGTAGTAAGCTTAGTCTTTATCATTCTCCTTCTTCTCATTCTGTTTACGTAGCATGCATTCTTTTGCAAAATCATTCTTTCCATGACAATAGTTAGATTCATATCCATAATCACCTAGCAAGTTCTTCTCTTTCTTCTCATCATCATTCTGAGAATTCTTATAACTCTCCTCTCTTGGTTTCTCATAAAATGAGTTATCCTGCTTCTACTTGCTTCGAAAACAAGAGAAATTTTTCTTGGAGAACTTCTTTGGATTAGACACCATCAACACTTTATCTTCCTTAGAGAGATGATCATCAAAATTTTCAGATTCGGAATCATCTGCAACCATCTTGTTTTGTTTATCACCTATAGCAATCAAAGCCAACGATCCAACACTAGAGACTAGCTTCGCTTCTTTTGTGACTTCATTTTCATGAGATTTCAAAATTCCCACCAGTTTTGCAAGAGAATAGTTTTTGAATTGTTCATGAGCCTTAACAGTAGAAACTATTGATTTCCATTCAGATCCGAGACCATTCATGAATGTTACTTTTTCTTCAATAACTTGTTGTTTAAGCTTGTATTTAAGCATTCTGCTTAACAAGTGATTAAAGTGATTGGCAGTCTGATCTAGATTTTCATCTGGTTTGTGCACAAATGATCCAAACTATGACAAAAGTGTCATTTGCAGAGAATATCCCAAGTTGTCATCACCTGAATATAATTCCTTCTTATGTACTAGATTCCTTTTGCAGTTTCGTATGAATTGACTAGGCGGAATGTGTCAGGGGGTAAAGAAAATCGAATGATTCGTATTGCCTTCAAATTGCACAACAGCTTGTCCTTCTCATCGTTTGGTATTTATGTATTTTCAGCAATGATTGCATCATAGTCTGCCTGAGTTTTGACTTCTTTGTCTGGTATCTGAATACTTGTACATTTCAACCGCCATTGTATGCCAAATGCCAGATTCATGTGTTTTAATTCCTAACAAATAATCTTCGAAATGAAGAGCCTAAAATTTGTAATGTTCAGGAGAATGGATAGGATTCCTTGTCGTTGATCCAATGCTACTTGGGAGATTGAATGAGAGAGAGTGAAGATCGTTGTTAGGCATTGTAGCGAGAATTCAATGAAATAGTATATAGAATCAGATATGTAAGCTACAATTAAGTTCAAGAGAAAACAAGATATTTAGATCTGAGATCTACAATAAATTTGCAATGAATAGATTGCAAAATGCAGAAATGATTGAGATAACAAGAATAAATTTGAGAAAACTGAAAATCCCTCAATGAAAAACCATTAACTCGTCAGAAGAATAGCGATTTGATTACACTATATCCTGATCTGATACCAATTGATAGAAATAATAAGACTGATAGATTCTACATTATGAAACTAAATCAATGAAAACAGAACAATGATGATTAAACATAAGATGAACTTCATTAATGTCAACAATAGACGTGTGTTCGTAAGGAGGAACTATTCTTTCTAGCTGGAAAAGTTGTTACCAAAGTTGTTTTATAAAAGAACAAATACATGCGCTATTTAAAGACTAAAAGATAACAATTCTAAAAATAGACATTCCCCATTTTAGAATCGGAACAACACATAATTATGAAAACATCTTATTTGACATAACATGAAATACGACTTAGCCCACAAGATTGATGGGAGGAGGTTGGGCACTCTGTTGGTGATGTAACGGTTGATTCGATGACCTGGGATGATTTTGTGACCAGGTTTAGGGATGAGTTCACACTAATAATTGAGATGCAACAGTTGGCGCGAGAGTTTCAGGATCTCCACCACTACTGAGACGGTGGTTGAGATCACCGTGATGTTCTGGGATAGGGCACTTTTGGTTCCGTACTATGTGGCAGATGAGGAGATGAAAAAGGCCTGATATCATGAAATGTTAAGGAGTGAAATTTGGCAGTTTGTGAGCTGATCCGGCTGCAAGACGTTGGAGGATATGATAGTGAGGGCTAGAGAGAGAGAGAGAGAGAGAGAGAGAGATTGATTTGGAAATGGAGAGGAAGAGGAAGAAAGATGAGGTTAAGGTATTAAGGGGTTTGGGCAAGAGGAACAAGGTTGTTGATTCGTGAGGGGAGGGACAGAAGGGCCGATACACTGCAATAGGTACGGTAGGACTCACAATGGGGCGTGCAGGGTGGGTGGTTTTGGCTACTTCAAGTGTGGCCAGACTATTCATGTTAGCAGTGATTATAGTGCTACCACCACCATCACCTCAGTATCTGATCTGATTTGCTTTCATTGCAATCAGGGAGGCCACAAGAAGGACCATGTTCTGAGTTTGGCTACAACAGGACCAGTGTCATCACCTGATCCTGTAACTCTTCGGATTATTGATAGCCGCCAGGTCCGGGCAGATGCACATGTGGTGAAGATTCGGGCCTTTTAATTGATAGCCGACGTAGATCGAATGACACCAGATGTGGTGATGGGTATCTATCTTCTCCCTATCTCTTTATTTATTTATATTTCTTGCTTATATTTATGTGTTTTATTTTAAGGATCAATCCTTGTGAACGGTGTTCTACTATGGTATTGTTTGATTCGGAGGCTACCCGATCATTTGTCTTGTTTGTGCTTAGCAAGTGGTTTGCTAGAGCTCTGTGGGAGCTGGATTGTCCTCTTGATGTCAATATTGTGGATGATTGGTATGTTCGGGTTGCGAGGGTTCATCGAGGTTGCACTATTCAGTTATTCAGTAAGCAATATCTGATTGATTTGTTTCCCACCCCTTTACGTAGGAACAAGGTTATCGTGGGCATGGATTGGTTGAGCCCTAGTAGGGCAATTATCAATTTTGAGCAGAAGTTAGTTCGTGTTCGTACCATAAGTGGGGGAGAGTTAGTGGTTCATGGGGAGAGATCTCAGCCTGGGCCGATTTTGTGTTCAGCAACAAGGGCTAGAAGTTATATTCAGCACGATTATTCCGAATATGTAGCCTATGTTATGGATACCCCGGATAAGGGTAAGGCGACCGTGGATGATGTGCCATTGTGCAGGATTACTCGGATGTGTTTCTAGAGGATTTTCCTGGGGTACCTCCGGAGAGGCAGGTTGAGTTCAAGATTGATCTGGTTCCTGGTGTGGGTCCGATAGCTATAATACCGTATCAGTTGGCTCCTACTAATATGCAGGAGTTATCTACACAGTTGCAGGAGCTGTTAGACAATGGATTCATTCAACCGAGCAGTTCTCCTTGGGAGCATCGATCTTGTTTGTGAAGAAAAAGGATGGGTCTCATCGTATGTACATTGACTACTGGGAGCTGAATAAGGTAATGGTGAATAACCGTTATCCACTCCCGAGGATTGATCATATTTTTGACTAGCTTGAGGGTGCATCCTAGTTCTCCAAGATTGATTTACGATCGGGTTATCATCAAATAAGGGTTAGGGATGAGGATGTGTAGAAGACAACCTTTTGGACTCACTATGGTCATTACGAGTTCATGGTGATGCCCTTTGGGCTTACCAATTCTCTAGCCGTGTTCATCATAAGAACATCCTATGTGCTCATACAAACCCTAATGCTTGGATCTAGGTTTATCTATTGTACATGTAATTTATCCAAGACTATAAACCCTACATCTAGCATATGATAATCGACATTAGCATAATAATGGGTTTAAGATATTACCTTGATTGTTATATAGCAATAACAATCACAAATCCTTCTTGTAATGACTTTAGAAAGCTTAGAGTCACAAATGTTACTCCTCTAATAGTTCACAAACACCAAGAGTTAGAGGATGAAGAGAAGGAGAGAAGGAATCTGCCCAAAACCATCCAAAACCCTAGAGAATCAGTTCCATACGTTTTTGGGGCTAAAGGGTACTATATATAGTGAGGCTATTAGGGTTATCTAATATGGAAACCCTAATTTGGATGCTTAAGCCCTAAGCAACCCATGGACTCCTTTAATTAAAGGCCTTGGACGATTTCTTATGGGATT